CCTGAAACACGCCCGCCCCCCCCGCCGTTGCCGCAGCGGAGGCTGCGACCGAAGCTGCCTCGTCATGTGAGGCTGTAGCTGCAGAGGCTCTTAGGTAAGGAGCTCCTCCACCTTTACACACGACACATACAGAACAAGTGTGACTAGTTTACTCGTCACTGCAGTACTTCGGGCAGTGGTGGCTTAGTGGTTAAGGAAGCGACTTGGATCCGGAAGGCTTCAGGTTTGAGGCCGGTTGCCAAGTTGCCACTGAGGTGCTCTGAGCATGGCACCGTCCCCACTTACTGCTCCTCGGGTCATTAAAGATGCCCCCTGTTCACTTTGGTGATGGGCTAAAAGCAGAGGTCACATTTGGTTGTGTGCAATGGTGTGCTGTGTCACAATAACAAGTAATTCCTTTTCACTTCTTTTTCACTTTCAATTCCAGTTCAGTATCAACTGAAGACCACAGCTAACATTGGCTGCAACAGTCCTGGTGCAGACACCAGAGCTAACATTAGCTAAAACTGTCCCGGCACAGACAACAGAGCTAACGTTAGCTAAAACCGTCCTGGTACAGACATCAGAGCTAACGTTTGCTAAAACAGTATTGGTACAGACATCAGAGCCAACGTTAGCTAAAACCGTCCTGGTACAGACATCAGAGCTAACGTTTGCTAAAACAGTATTGGTACAGACATCAGAGCTAATGTTAGCTAAAACAGTACCGGTACAGACGCCGGAGCTAACATTAGCTACAATTCCAATTAATTCCAATTATAAATACATTTAGCAGACACTTTTATCCAAAGCAACTTACAATTTCAGTCTGTCAGTCAACAACCAACAATCAGCAACAGTAAACATACAAAATACATACATAAATATGTTTACTGTAATTTCCTGTCGAATCAACAAACCTAAATATAGGTCGCACCCACTAAATTTAAAAAGAAAAAAAACAGTTGTGCATACTGTATATAGGCCGCACTTCTTGTTACACATTAGCTCTTTCCGGCTTCAGCGCCTCGACCGTAGTTGAAATATACAAGGGAGACTTAGTGATCTGCTCCGGGGCTGAAGCTAACATTAGCTCCAGTGCTAACTCCCTTCACTTTGTGCTTGTCCACAGCAGAGGTAAACAGAGACAGTGAAGTTGGGGTCTTTATTATCAGCCACACTGACCACAACAGAACATAAACAGAGTTTTAACAGCTCCTGTATAACCAACTCACCCTTCAACATGACAGGGGCTCAAACTGCTCTCGACTTTCTGTACCATTTTCTCTCTCTCGCTCTCTCTCTCGCTCTCTCTTTCTGTCTCTCTTTCTCTCTGTCTCTCTCTCTTTCACACTCTCAATCATCATGGCCATCTCTCTCTCTCTCTCACACTCTCAATTTTCATGGCCAGGTTTGATTAGAATATTTCAAATTAAACCTCAATACTAGTTACTGCAGTACATCTGACAAGACAGTGTCAAAAAGTGAACTCAGTAGACTGTCAAACTACTTCCTGTCCGATCCAAAGTCCAAGAAAGACAAATGTCACTGTTTAGTATAATATTCTAAACAGTGACATTTTTATTATTTATTTATTTTTATTTTTATCCCCCCCCCCAGCGGGATGTCGACACCCAGTTCTGTGACACAGCAGCTGACCGAGATGAGTCTGTCCTGTGAGGAGAGTCAAGTGGATCTGACAGAACCAGGTCGGTACCACAAAAATTAAAACTGACCGTTCCCACAGGCCTGGTGTTCTCATTTGGTTTTGATTCTTACCTGGGATTCTTACCTCTGCAGTAGTGAGTCAGCCCACCGTCTCTCTGCATCCCCCCTCCACTGCTGGCAGTGAAGAGTCCAAAACCTTAGACGCCCCGAAACCTAAAAAGAACCGCTGCTTCATTTGCCGCAAGAAGGTCGGACTCACAGGTGAGAAACCGCAGTTGAACTCCCTAAGGCAGGGCTGTCAAACTCATTTTCACCGGGGGCCACATCAACAATACAGTTCCTGTTGAAGGGCCGGTTTTAAATGGAACATTGTATAGATCAGGGGTCCCAACCCCTGGTTCACGGACCAGTACCAGTCCATAGGTCCTTTGGTACCAGCCCGCCGTAGGACACAGTGAAAAAATTAAAAAATTCTAATTTACTTCATTCAAAAAACATTTTTCCATTTACTTTCTTTATTTGACGATAATCTGGCAATATTTTAAACTAAAAGTCAGACTTTGATACAAACAGAATAGATCCTGGTATAGATGTAGCTCCTCCATAACAGACTAATACATGTATCTGCAATTGATTATTATTTATTCAAGCTACAAATATTATTCATTGCTGTGTAATAAAAAAAAACCTTTTAATTTCATAGGTTGATAAACTCTGCTGCATGGCCTTTATTAAATGCTTTTTAAGCTCCCGCGGGCCACACAAAATGGCTCGGCGGGCCGCATTTGGCCCCCAGGCCTTGAGTTTGACACGTATGCCCTAAGGGGAATCGAACCGTCAGTCACTCAACAGAGCCTGTTTGGTGTGAGCGGCCGTTGTTGTTTGTTAGACTGACCTGCTTTGTGTGATCCCAGGCTTTGACTGCCGCTGTGGGAACCTGTTCTGTGGAATCCACCGTTACTCCGACAAACACAACTGTCCGTACGATTACAAAGCCGAAGCCGCCGCCAAGATCCGCAAAGAGAACCCGGTGGTGGTCGCCGACAAGATTCAAAAAATATGAATAACTCTGGAGTTTGACTTTGGGAGAGGAAAAAAAAAAAAAAAAAAA